GCCAATCAGAGAGCAGCGAAAGAGCAAGAAGCAACCAATCAGAGCCCAGCAAAAGAACCCGAGCACATTACGTCCACATCCACTAATGGGACAGAAGAATATGTAAGAATTAAACCAGGGCATAAGCACTCTGGATATCGATGCCATTTTTTATCTATAACAAAATACTGCACTGTTTCCATAGCAATATTTTTAGTCATAGCATTAGCAGTAAGAGTAGTAAGAAGTACACATTTTTGCAATTTATAAAGCTCATCCCTCTGCAGTGTTGTTTCAGATGTGGCACAGAGTTACAGAGAGTAGAAGTAATTTGTCATCCGTGCAGGAGTGTTTATTAGTTCAAAATTTTAAATACAAGTGTGTAAGTTAAAGTTAAATGACTACATTAGAAACCTTCTCTATCACAGGTGCAAATACATATTTTTGTAACACAGTAGCAGTAAACATAGTAGTGAAGTAGGTAGTAGTAGGAGCAGTTAACGGCTGTGTTAGTAATGTTAATCCTTTGATTTAAAGCAGACCTATTATGAAAATTGAACCTTTCACAGCTTTTTAGTTGTTTATAGTTGTTTATATAGATTGATTTATGTTTGAATTAAATCTTTAATGGCTTATTTTCAAGATGCCATTTTGCTGATCAACTCATTTTCTTTCACCACCACTGGCATACGCCCACTGCTCTGTACTTACTTCGTTCTTCAGTTTTATCTTCTTAATTAGTAATATGTGTAGGATTCAGCAGTGTCACATAGTCATTTTGATACATCTGAAGTAAAATGTGATGTGCAGATATCCATCGGAGGTGCCCAAAACTTTGCAGATTTTTGTTGTGATGACTGATGATTTACTGCGCTGTCAGCTCCCACTGGGTACTGCAATGTTCTAACGCGGAAGTGAACAGACTTCTTTTGTTTATTAAGTTTTAGATTAACATTACAATTTAAAATGTCCAAATTATAACATGATGATCCACAAGTGTCATAGTAACAATTCAAAGCAAAATCTATCTTTAAAATGGGCAACAGTCTGCAAAAAGTCCCAAACCAGAAGAAGTTATGTAACTAAACCTCTAAAATGGAAGTAAAAGTGTTGTCTCTCAAAGTGGTACACTGTTATTATTATTCCTACACTCCATACTTGGTGATGGTAAGGTTTGGTAGCCCTGAAGGAGAAAAGGCAGCATCAGCCCCTCTATAACTATCAATTACTCACCATATTCATGTATGAATATGGTGAGTAATTGATAGTGCCCATGTATGGGCACGGTGGGTGAAGAGTCTTGCTTAAGAACACAACAGTGTCACTGACAGAGTCAACACTGTCAGTAACGACACTGTCTCTCCTACCCATTGTTGCAGTACTAGTTGAAGAAGTCTGATACTATAGGCTAGTTCAAATCATAGTAAGCTAAGTCTTTCTCTTTTCTCTCTCTTTGTAGCTCTGTTCTGGTTGCCTGGGCACGGTGAATAAGGATTCCCCTGTGGTTTTCGCTCAGAGGGAGGGATATGATGCGCTGTGGCACCCCTCCTGCTTCGTCTGCTCCGTGTGTGGCCTGCTATTGGTCGATCTGGTTTACTTCTGGACCAATCAGAAGCTGTTCTGTGGACGTCACTACTGCGAGAGTCAAAGACCGCGCTGCCAGGGCTGTGATGAGGTATGGGTGGCATTAAAGGGGTATATAATGAACAAGTTGTCCATTTTCTTGTCATCCGGTATTTTAATTATTGTTTTGTTTTGTTGCAGCTGATCTTCAGTGATTCGTACCACTCAGGGAGTGGTGGTCGGGCCTGGCACAAAGAGCACTTCTGCTGCTGGAGATGTGGACAGAGCCTGGACCAGAGCTGCCCTCACTCTACTTAGATTGTATATCTCCAACATAATATTCACTTCAGCACTAAACAAGGACTGAACAGGACAAAAACAGGACTAAACTAAGTCTAAAGAAGCACTATACTCGGACTGTTATTACAGGTTTTGTCATAGAGAAAATATTAATTGAGGTGTTTGATTTGCACTTGCAAAGGTCAGACCTGTTTTTTGTTGTTGTTGTTGTTGTTTTTTTACTAATTCAAACATGACTAACAGAGAGATAGAGAGGTATTAACACTACATGGAGTTTACTGGTGGTGGTGGTGAATTATGTTTTCATTCGTCAGAAAGGCCACCTCTAAGGATTGTTCCTATCTCATGATAGTATAGACTACAACTAAAACAGGGAAGTTGTTCTGGGGCTTATTGTTCATTAAGCTTAAAAGTCCTATAATATTTCAATCGATGTATATGCCAAATACAATACTGGGTATGTTTGGCTCTACTGCCCTGGTCTAATTAAGAACTAGAAAATCCTCCCAAAATATATATTGCCATAACAGTAGATTTGACTCTACATGCATTTTGCATTTACATTTTTTTTCTTTACTTAAAGTAAAGAAAGATGAGACTAAAATGCCCAAAGAACCATGCTGTATCTACAGTGTTCCACATGTTGTAGAAACAGGGT